TATTTGAAGTATTGACGTCATAAACTATGACGTCACATAATAGTTAGCTATAACGACGTCCGCCATATACGTTCCCGGGAAGTTTTAGAAAGTATGTTTAAGAGTATTTGTAGTGCGATGGAAATTGTGGCTAATAATGACACTAAAGGAATTCTAAACCATTACTATATAAAAGTAGATAGCTGTTAATGGTAGCACTAATGTGTAGTTTTAAATGTGGGCCAAATTGTCGAATTCTGGCGATTAACTTTATGACCCAATATAACACAAATATTTCATCTTCTATTTTGTTGAATATATTGAAATTCCAATATAGAAGTACATATATTTCAGGGCTTGAAAGTAATCATCCAAAACCAAGGGAATTGAATAAACGAATTTTTAAAGAAATTTATCAAAAACTACATTTTGTGACTTGCATTGAGGAATTCTTAAGCTGATAAAGCTTTAAGCAATGTGGAGTAAACTTTTTATTAACTATCATGAAGTCGGACAGTAACTGGGTATTTAAATTCAAGGAAACGTGAATGTAGGAGAGTATAATTATCAAGTCAAGTATTGTGTTGAAAAGAAGCAATGTTTATTCATACATATGTTTGTGTACATAGTTTGGGGTAGTGACTGTGAGTCATACAATGAATGGCCATGTATTTATTTGTGCAATATTGTGTTGATAGTGATCTAGCTTTCAAATTATGGCATTTAGTTTGATTATATCGTAAAGAAAAAAATTAAGGATCCCTGCACCAAGGCCAAAAAGATATTGTGCATTGGATTTATTTTGTGGCATGACTTTTGCCTGGGTACTATTAAATTGTTTCTGAAAAATAAAATCTATAACTGCGAAATTTTATAAAGCAATTAAAATTAAAATAAATGAAAACTAATCAACATGTAGTGTTCTGAGTATTAAAATGCAACGTGGCCAGATTAAGATTGAAACCCTGGACCCCCGATTATTACTCTCACTCTCTAACCTTCTGAGCTACCTTGACACTGACCAAGTGGATTTTACTTTATTGTTTTCCTTGCAGTGGGGCAGGGATCCTTAATGAATGAAAAATGAAATAAGTGTGCTTTTAAGATAAAAATAGCAACAAAATTAGCGGAAAATTAAGAATCCAATGACATTATTCCAGTTCGGAATAAATTATCTTACTAAGAGCATAGAACAGTTAAGCGAAAATATCTAAAAAAGTGTTGTGTAAATTGATGAAACATTGATTCTGCCATGTTTTTAAATCTGACTGTATGTACTTGCGTTGACAGCATTCTGGCGTTTGGTGATTTGTGTCAGCATTGTTTATGAACTTTGCCTTGTCTACCTCCTTTTCCAGGTAAGTAACAAATGGTTTACTGCTCTTAAGGTCAGCTGCTGGTTGAATCAGCTTCTCTTTGGTCAAGTTACTCCTGTGGTCAGCTTTTCGTAAGATCAGCTTCTCTTTGGTCGAGTTACTCCTGTGGTTAGCTTTTCCTAAGATCAGCTTCTCTTTGGTTCAGTTGCTCTCGTGGTCAACTATTCCAATTAGCCTCTCTTTGGTTCAGTTGCTCCTGTGGTCAGCTATTCCTAAGGTCAGCTTTACTTTTATCCAGTTACTTCTGTGGTCAGCTATTACTAAGATCAACTGCACGTTGGTCAAGTTCCTATGGTCAGCTTCTCTTTGGTACAGTTGCACCTTTGGTCAGCTTTTCCTTAAATCAGATTCTCTTTGGTCCAGTTGTTCCTGAGGTCAGCTATCCCTAAGAGCAGCTTCTCTTTAGTACAATTGTTCCAGTGATCAACTAGTCTAAAGATGAGCTTCCTTTAGTCCAGTTGCTTCTGTGGTCAGCTATTCCTAATATCAGCTTCACTTTGGTCCAATTGCTCATGTGATCAGCCAAACCTAATATCAGCTTCTCTTTTGTCCAATTACTCCTGTGATCATCTATATCTAAGATCAGCTTCTCTTTGGTCCAGTTGTTCATGTGATCAGCTATTCCAAAGATTACCTTCTCTTTGGTCCAGTCGCTCATGTGATCATCTATACCTAATATCAGTTTCTCTTTTGTCTAATTGCTCCTTTGGTTAGCTTTTCCTAAAATCAGCTTATCTTTGGTCAAGTTGCTTCTGTTGTTATTTATCTCTACGATTAACTTCTCTTAGGTTCAGTTGCTCCTGTGGTCAGCTTTTCTTTACATCAGCTTGTCTTTTGTCCAGTTGCTCCTGTGGTCAGCTATTTTGTCCAGTTGCTCCTGTGGTCAGCTATTACTAAGATCAGTTTCCCTGTGGTCTAGTGGCTCTGAAGTCATCTGGTGCTGCTGAGATCAGCTTCCTTTTTATTCATTTGCTCCTTAGGTCATCTGCCTCTGCGGTTGTTTCGTCCCTGATACAGGTTCTTCTGATTTGGCTACACTGCACCAGTCAATCAGCCTCTCTCAGGCTAACTGTTCAGGGGTCAACTTCATTTTAGTTAATTTCTTCTAAATTCAGCTTCTCCTGAAGTCAGCTTCTCCTGAAGTCAGCTTTTTATAGTTAATTTGTTTGTGGGGTCAGCTGCCCGTGGGTTCAGCTTATTGCAGCACATTTGCTTTAAGCATCAATTACTCTTGGGGTAAATTCTTTTTAGTTCAGTTGCTTCTTGAGATCAATGGACAAATGTTCAGCTTCTCTTTGTTTCTGCATGAGTTCAGCTGCCAATGCATTAACTTTCAACATTGCTTTTGAATAGATTAATACAGATTTAAAATATCGTTATGCAAAATATATAGCATTAATCTAACATTTGTGAAATATTGTGAAATATAAAGATGAGGATTTACATACGGCGGCATAATTTGAATAGTGAATTTCATGCCTCTAATTATTTTTCTGTAGTCAAAAAAGGATGCCCGTCAGCTTCTTACCCACTTTGATGACAGACTTGGGAGGGAGATGCCGGAGAAAGCTTATGGAGGGAATTGTTTTATTTACGACCCTGACAACACTGACCCATTTCACAACCTGTGGGTGAGTTATTTCTCTTTGCCAACAACTATCGGTCCTTTTTCAACCTGTGGGTGCATTATAACTTTATAGCTATAACAACCCTAATCTGTTTACAACCTGTGGGTGCATTATAACGTTATAGCTATAACAACCCTAATCTGTGTACGACTTGTTGATTAGCCATTTCTATAACCCTTTCAAATTGGACTTCTTGTTAATACAATTGTAAAATTACGACATCGTGATATGTCAAAACTATAACCAATTTGATTCCATTATTTGTGATCATTCTCTTTATGTTTTCCTTTCAGGACAAAGTAGATGTGTTTGTTCCAACTCATTTCTTTGGGTGGTGGGCAAAGGTAAGATGTCCTGTGGGTAAAAGCTTATTTTTTTGTAACAGGAAAGCTACATGTAGATTGTAAGGAGAACATTAATTATTTCAATAATAGCTTTGCGACTTAATTTTATATGTATTATAACACAAAATCGAACTCTTGGAAGGGAAAGGATCCTTGTACAGCTGCCATAAACAGTATTGGAAACTGTTTTTTTTTCGGCATGATCATAGCTTTGAAAGGAAAACAATATATTGCGGGAATTTTATGAGAAAGAATAAAGATTAAACAATTGAAATGTAATCAAAAACAGTGTTAACATTTAGCGAGGCTAAACCGGGATTCGAAAGCAGGACTTTGGACTGTTTTCATACAGGTTCAGTTTCCTTCTATGTAAATGTATATGTAAGAACCAACCTTTGTCAACTGCATAAGGGAGATATTATTTAGCAGTAGTACGACACATTTAATCTGATTTGTAATTTCTTTTATCTGCAAACATTTTAAGTCGGTGTACTCTGCTATTATTATGATGAATTTGAGGTGTTTTAGGACTCGCTTTACTAAATCATTTACACTATGTTATTACCTAGCTTTTGAGCTAACAGCTTTTATAATTGAAGTTCAAAACTAGTGACAGCTGTCTTGATTCATAGATACATACAAAGGCTTAAAAACATTCTTGGCTGCTTTAATGGTATATAAGAGCGTTACTGTCTTCTGATTTTGACAACCAGAAGTTCCAAGCAAACAGAGACAGGAACATCCATGATATTTGACACCATATAAATATGCCATCACATATCAAAATCTACTAGTACTTTCCAATGTTAAATACATTGTATCTGTAGCTTTCATTCAATGAAAATATGTCAACAATTACACATTTAACATACTCAGAGGCACTGTATTGAACCAAACAAATTCTAAGTAGAAATTACAATCGTATGAACCACTTGGTGATTGGCTGATTTAGTTGTGCGAGTCCTTTTAGTAACGCCTAGTGGAGGGTACCTAATCCTGTTTGGTCTATTTGACAGACGCTAATACTGAGGGACTGGTGGTTATGTACTGTGCTGAGTATCATGTTTGAATTACTCGAGTATACACTGGAACATCAGCTGCCAAACTTTAGCGAATGCTGGTGGGATCACGTGAGTAGAAATGTATTTAATGCAAAACAATCCACTCAGTTTATATCATATAGGCAGGAACAATCCACTCAGTGTATACCATATAGGCATGAATAATCGACTCAGTGTATACCATATAGGCAGGAACAATCCACTCAGTGTATACCATATAGGCAGGAACAACCCACTCAGTTTATACCATATAGGCATTTACGCCCAAATGATATTTTCGTGGGTAAATATCATGATCATAAAAATATGAGCCGCAGAATAATAAGAAAAGCGTGAAAATGAGCTCCGATAATAAACTTCATAATCGTGATGTCATCATGAAATAGCGCACACGTAGTTATGGCGATTCATATATATTAAGAGTGAAGATGTGTGAAAATAGGTTATATCACACATCAAATAGTATTAATCATGATTTCTTTAACTAAACACACGTATTTGATGTAGTTAAATATGCTGTCATAAAGCCTATTCATTTGACTATTTGACAATTTATATGCTAAGTGTCCCGTCTCTGTGTTTAAAGGAACTATTTAGTCAAATGACAACCTGAAAATCGTGTCGATACTGAAAATATATATCTCCTTACGAAAGT